CATTTGAATATGTATTTTATTTATTGTTATTGCAGTACACAAGCAAACATGCAATTATTTTTGGACAAATTTAAGAGGATATCATTCATTTTCAGTAGTAAAAGGTGAATCTTATGTAAGGTTCCCCATGTTTCATCCCAAATAACTAATTTTGCTACCTAATATTTGTGATCGCTTAGCTATGGTTACGTGTTTCTTCTCATGGAGATTGATAAAATAAATTTAATTTCCAAAAAGAAAAGATCAATTTCCTTTTTTTAATGCAAAAAGACTATTATAAGACAAAATTAGAGCAATATGAAAATAGAAGCAATTGAATTTTTCTAAAATATCTATTTAATATTTTCTCTGAAACAGTTCACAAAGTTTTAAATGACATCCTAAAGCTGTACAATCAAAATTTTGATTTGTAAAATATATGTCTTACATCAAATTTTAGTTTTGAATCATTTGCAATGTATTCTAACTGTTTGATTCTTTTGATTTTCTTTCACTCCAACATTAATTTTCTATATCATCATTCATTTATTCACTTATATTGAATAAGAAGATCGATAGAAACACTAATCCTAATAAATGAATAATAAAGCCAAAAATTTGAATTAAACGTAGTTATATTCCTGTGGTGTTTGATCTCATTTTTTATAATTAAATTTTATTGAAGTAAAATATGGTCATTTCAAATTTTAAAAATAAATAAATAAATGATGATTAAGCCAAGCGTATTAGGTTTTGTGCTTATTATGGTTAGATTATAAACTGAGTAATAAATGTAGCTTGGAGAATTTTTTTGTCTTATTTTATTTTGGTTTGAACGGGTTGTTTTCTTAGAGTTCAAAGGCAATTGGTAGTAGAAATCAAAATCTGATTAGGGTGGGTATAAAGGAGTCTTTTTATCCAATTATAGAATTGTTTCGTTGAAGGAAAATTTTATATTTTAGAATAGATCGAGTCCCAACAGAAAAAGGTTACTTAGTCCTAACCCAAAATTATATTTATACCCATCATTAAATTGCTACAAACCGGAAATATTAACTTTAAAGGGCAAAAAGGTCGATCAATTTGTCGAGGATATTTTCGTCTCTCAACATTTAACTTCCTAACATTCGTGTTTATATATATATATAGAGAGAGATATATGGTTGGTTAAAATGGAAGAACACAAAGTTGGCTGGTTCACCTAATATATAAGATCTGCTATTATTGGTTGAGGAAGTATGACGCTAGCTATGATTTCGACTATATTTCAAATCTAATATTAAAGAATAAATAAATAAATGGTTTTGCACTTTGATTTCTCATATTTAATTAATTTTAAGTTCATTTCGTCTTAGGATTTAAGTTTTCATAATTAATGGACTTGGATACCTAATTTTTTACTAGCTCGATCTACTGTACTTCTTTCCCTTTCAAAAAGCTGTTGTTTCCGGTTAGGAGACTTAAAGGTTCTGTCATCCAATTATATTTCTTTGACATTTGGTAATCCAATTATTTATCATCCATATGCAGCGTATCTAGAATTTTTATAATATGGGTGTACCGCTAAAAAGGAAAAAAAAGAAAGTGTTAAGTGAAAATTGATCCCTGCTCTTCCAGGTAAAAATAACTAAACATTCAATCCAGTGCACCATTTAGCCTTTTTAGAATATGGGTGCTAACAGATAATATTAGATCAATTCTAGCAAATAATAAATATGTACCCATAAAATAGACTCTAAATCCGCCCCTGTCCATATGAATACTTAAATTATGATTTTACTCTATGTTCAACACAATTCACAAGTCAAACACTACAAAAAAAAATTAAAAAATGAAAGTTGATGGATTGTTAGACTTTAAGATACATTACCAAACAAATTGTACGGTGTTGGAAAAAGTGGAACTTAATTACCTCTCTGTAGTGTTTTCACGTCTGCACATTATCGTTTCCTTACTTTTTTTTTTTTTTTTTCCTTTTCTTTTCAACGACTTTTTACTACTCTATTATAGTTGTATTCTGACTTCTGTAACTTTTTTTGGTTTCTCATATAGTGTTCCGGTATTGCTTGGGCCTCCGACTAATTCGAATTTATGTCGTGCAAGGTTCAAGCCTGGTTCGAATTCAAAAGTAGGGGTGTTCATGGTTCGGTTTGGATCGGTTTTTTCCTAAAAACAACCAAACCAAGTAAGTCGGTTTTTCAAATATTAGAACCAAACCAAACGAATTAAGTCGATTTTTCTCGATTCGGTTTATGTCGGTTTTTCGGTTTTTTCGGTTATTTGTCGGTTTTTTCTTAAATATAAGACATACACCACCAAACACATATTCCGGCGACCACATTTTTAATCACTACAAGAAAAAGCCTTATTTACGACCAACTTTTAGGGACGAGTAAATAATCTCGTCGCTAATAATATATGTATTAGGACGAGATTATATTGCGGTCCTTAATGCTTTATTTTATTGCGAAGGTAATAAATCTGTTCCCTAAAAAAAATAGTAACTGGTCCCAAATTATAATTGAGAGTCCTTGAGTGTGAGAGAGTCCCGCAAATCTAATACCAAAATACTAAAAATATATTTTCTAAAAATTAGGCGCCAAAACTAAAAAATAAAAGGTTTTAACAAAATTAAACCTCTGTTATCTCAAAACAGAGTGCCGCTAGAATCCTCTGCCCTAATCTCCCGTCAAGCTAGCGTTAGAGCCGGTCTGCTCGTCTGATCGTGTGCGAGCCAAAATCGATCAACTGATCTGATCATTTTGCCCTGTTTCCATCTCCTCCTTTGAGAATCCAAGGTATGCCCTCTTTCAAGTTGCTCTTTTTCTTCTTCTTTCTTCTTTTTCTTCTATGAATGGCATATTAGTCAGGTTTTGAAAGCAAATTATTCCAAGGTATGCCTCCTTTGAGAATCGTCAGGTTTTGAAAGCTAATTATTCATGAATGGCATATTAGTTTTTATGTATTCAGCGAGGGATTAATCTTGAGAATATTTGGGCTGCTATAATTTTTACTGTTGTTTGCTCAAGTTTGTTGTTTGGGATTTCTTCTATAAGCTGATTAAATAACAGAAAGTTTTGCTCAAGTTTGTGTTTTGGGATTTCTTTATAAGCTATTAAAAAACTGAAGTTTGCTCAGTTTGTGTTTGGGCTGCCTAGTTTATGTATAACTGATTATTACTGTTGTTTCTGAAAGTTTATACTACTTACATTGTGAATATTTTTGTGCAGTTCACGTTTTCCTGAGTTTCGTTATTCTGTTATTCTGTCATCTAGCAAATAAAAATTTCTTTGAGCTGAAAACAGAGGAGCCGAGTCGACTAGAAAGTGAGACCTTAGAGTTGAATCGGTTATGTTCATCTAATCGTAACAAGTAGTGTGCATCGTAGTATTTTTCTTATCTTTTATCTTTATTTAATCTTATTTTTATTTACTCTCCAAGGTTATGGCACCTAGTAAGCAATGGATGCAACTTGTTGATAATCGGCTCGATGAAGCCTACTTAATCGGAGTGCAAAAGTTTTTGAATTATGCTTTTCAAAAAACAGGAGAAGAATATGAAATACGTTGTCCGTGTGTCAAATGTTATAATACAACTTTAGGAACTCGTAAGACAGTTGAGACACATTTGAAAGTATATGAAATAATTCAAAATTATACGTTTTGGTATCATCACGGGGAAAAGTTAGGTGAGCCACTGTCAGAATCAGAAGATGAAGACGGTGATGAACTAGAAGAATGTGAAAGTGAAGATGAAGTACAAGAATTGTTGAGAGATTTCCCTTTTGGGACCAGATTTTGGCTTTTAAGGACCAGATTTCCCTTCCTTAAAGGCCGTTTTCTTGTAGTGAATGTAACACTATCAAATCAATTGCCCTTTGAAAAATCTATTATTTACCAAGATATATTGATGATAATTGAATCAAATAGTGATGAATAATTTAAGGACTCCATTAAAAATATGTTATTTTTAACACGAAATGGATTCTTACACTAAACAAAAGAAAACTACCAATCAAACTAGAATGTAAAGGTAAAGAACTATATTAAAAGTGCAAACTATTAACATTTATCATAAATTTTTTGAAACTTTGTATAACAATATACATATTTATAGGTGTAATAATAAATTTGAAATAGCTACTCCTATAGTCGGTTTGGTTCGGTTTTTTTCTGATTAAAACCAAAACCAAACCAAATTTGATCGGTTTTTAAAATTCGAAACCAAAACCAAACCAAACCAAAAAGTATCATTTTTTTTGGTCGGTTTGGTTTGGTTTTCGGTTTGATTCGGTTTTTCGGATTTTTATGAACACCCATATTCAAAAGAATAACGAGATTCTATTCATCAGATCACAATCCTTAATGATTGAGTCCTATTTAACATTTTTATCTCTATGTGTCGCTTTCCGCAATTGTTCATGAGCTTGACACCAGCTAATGAGGAGTGTATGTTTTGTGCACTGAAACTACCTATAATATAATATAACATAATATAACGTCAAATAAATATTCAAACTGTTTATAATAAACCAGACATGATAACCCGAAAAGTCGAATAGACCAAAAATAAATTGTACACGATTAAAGTAAAAATCTTTAACGTTAACTTCAATGTTATTGCATAATATTTCAGCACTGCAAGTTTACACTAATTTGTTGGAAAACGAAAGAAAAAACTGTTGTGGTTGATTTCGTAGACAAGGCTTGAAATCCAATCCGATATTGCCATGGAAATAAGACATACCGTTTATGTTTCTGTAGCATATAAAAAATGATTATAGCTACCAAGAAAATATTCATCTGACATATATAGAATTAAAAATAAGAGAAAATTAAAAACAGTATCCATGAAATTTGCCTTAGTTTTTACGTCTACACAACATGGGCATTTTAGATCCCTTAAAAGCCAAGCTTGTTAATATTTTGGACCATTTTCTGTTACAAGACAACGACTGGAAGAAATTAAAAAAAGAAATCCTCTTATATATAAGTCAAGATTAAAAAACCAACCTTCAAATTCTTCATTTCCATCCAATTCTTGGCTAATTCCCTCAAAAATGGCAGCCAAGAAATCTAATTCTATGGCCATTTTAATTTTCCTTTTCCTTCTTTGTCACATAAACTTCTCTATAGTCGAATCAGCCAGTAAAATACGCGCTCGTCACCCGTGTAAAACCCTAATGTTTTATTTCCATGACATAATCTACAATGGTGAAAATGCCAAAAATGCAACTTCAGCTATAGTTGGAGCTCCAGCATGGGGAAATTTTACAAAATTGGGAGGACAAAACCATTTTGGAGATTTAGTTATTTTTGATGATCCAATTACTCTGGATAACAATCTTCATTCAACTCCAGTTGGAAGAGCTCAAGGTTTTTATTTTTATGATAAAAAAGAAATATTTACTTCATGGTTAGGGTTTTCATTTGTTTTCAATTCTACTGAACATAAGGGTAGTATTAATTTCGCTGGAGCTGATCCATTGATGAACAAGACTAGGGATATTTCAGTAATTGGTGGAACTGGTGATTTTTTCATGGCAAGAGGAATTGCTACTCTCATGACTGATGCCTTTGAGGGTGAAGTTTATTTTCGACTTCGTGTTGATATTAAACTTTACGAGTGCTGGTAATAATTTTAGAAGTTATTATTGTTGTTGTTATTGTCACCGTGTTTCTTTTTTTGGTATGGAGGGAAGAAGAGGTTGTTTGTTTCTGTCTTTATGTTAGAGGGTTTATTGTTGGTTAAAGAATCCAAGAATTTTGTCCAATATGCACCATTTAATTTCCACTTTAAGTTTTTTGTATTGATAATGTAAAAGTATTAAATACAAGGAAAAATGTTCAAATTTATTTTCGAGCTTTGCGAAGTCGTTTAAGTTTATGCTCTGTTAATAGTTAAGGTTAAATATACCCTTACCTTCCAAAGTATATTGAACTATCAGTAAGTAATTATACTTTTACAAAGGCTCAAATGTTGGAAAGACTCTTCCCCTAGTAATTAAGGCATATTTGGATCAATCTTGTAATAGCAGGAGTATATTTGATCCCAACTATAAATTTGATGGATTAGAAAGAAGATTGATTAAGAAAATTCTCTTTTTCACAAATTGTATTTATATACAATAAGAATGGAATCTAAAATAACGGCCTATGCTGCGTGTATCTAAACTATTAGCTTAGATATAATAAACTAGAAGATAAATGCAGACAAGAAAAAAATAATATTTACATCCTAATTTTTGAATCTTCTTTCCATAGCCTTCTCGTAGGCCCAAGACGAAAAGCCCTAAACAAAATAAAATAGCTGGAGCCCAAAACTTTCCAACCCATATGTTATATGGTTCAGACATAACATCCTTAAGACATAACACATACTTTGGTCCAAATCAGAACCTAACCCCTTTCCTTCATTAGAAACATCGAGATTGATTTAAGAACTCCATTGTTGCCATTTTCATCACCAACACTCCTTTTCAAGTTGGAGAGGGATGAAAGTACTCCCAACTTGCCCAACAATCGGTGATGAAACGGGCCAGTAAAAGGTTTTGTGAACAAATCGGCGAGCTGAGAAAAGGAGCGAACAAATGAGAGAGTAATCAAACCTCCCATGAACCGCTGACGAACAGAATGGCAATCAAGCTCCACGTGCTTCGTTCTTTCGTGAAAGACAGAATTTTCAGCTATGTAAATCGCGGTTTGGTTGTCATAGTGAAGAGGCACTAGAAGAGATATCGGAATAGACAAATTGTCAAAGAGTCTAACTAACCAGGTGAGCTCGGCGACCACATGCCGCATGGAGCGATACTCAGCTTCTGCAGAGCTAAGAGAAATTGAGGTCTGTTTCTTGGATTTCCAAGAAATAGGAGAAGATCCAAGCGATATGTAGAAACTACTAACAAATTTACGCGATTCTCGGCATGTTCCCCAATCGGAGCCACAGAAAGCCAACAATTGATACGAAGGGGAAGAAGACATAAACAGGCCAAGACCGGGATCCTTTGATAAATATCGAAGGACACGAAGGGCTGCTTGCATGTGAGAAACCTGTGGATCCTGCATATATTGGCTCAAATATTGCGCAATGAAGGAGAAGTCCGGACTTGTATGGGTCAAATAGTTCAATATGCCCGGCAAATGTCGATACAAGGTTGGGTCTTTGATAGGAGCACCAGATTTAGCCAACAATTTCGTGGTGGGATCAAGTGGGCAAGAGACAGATGGTTTGTTTAAGGCATACAAATTCCAGCAACAAATCAAGAGTGAATTTTCGTTGAGTCAAAATTAGTCCCTCATATTCATGTAGTACTTCCATCCCAAGAAATTAATGTAAGTTCCCTAAATCCTTTAATCTGAATTCCTAATGTAGAAATACTTTCAAAGAATTTATCTCCTCTAAATTATTTCCTATCAAGATTATGTCATCGAAATAGACGGCCACTATAGAGATAGAGGAGTCAGACCTTTTATAAAATAGGGAATAATCATTTAAAGAATGGAAAAAACCTTTAAAATTAAGGGTTGTATGCTTGGCGAAGCCCATAAAGTAACTTTCTTAACTTGCAAACATGTGTAGGGAGAGGGAGGTGTGAACCCAACTGGAAATTTCATGTATAGGTCTTCATTAAATCCACATGCAGAAATGCATTATTCACATCCAACTGAAAAATTTCCCAACATTTCTTAACTGTTGTAGCTAGAATACATCTGATGGTAGTCATTTTTACCACTGGAAAAAATATTTTATTGAAGTCTATCCCTTCCTTTTGAATATTTCCTCCAACTACAAGCCTAGCTTTGAGCCTTTCCACACTCCAATCGGAGTTATGCTACACTTTATACACCCATTTGCAGGGCAATGCCTTTCTACCTGGGGGTAACTCCATGACCTCCCAGGTGGGATTGAGCTCAAGTGTCTCTATCTCTTTTTCTATTGCTTCTTGCCAACCTGGGTGATGGGATGCTTGGATATAGCTAGTTGGTTTCTAGATATTAGAAAGGGAATTAAGCAGATGTTGGTTGGATGTAGACATATCATTGAAAGGAAACTAGAAGGTGTGACAGGTGAAAGGAAACAAGAACCACTTATGTTAGTTAATATATTGAATAGCATTGCAAATGTAGTCCTTGAGGTAAGGAGGGGGATAATGTGTCCTTGAGGATTTTCTAATAAGACTGTCCAAAATAGGTTCACTAGCTGAACGTGAGGCAGTAGAAATAGGAGAGTGAGTGATAGGAGATGGAGATGGTGTAGGACTGGAAGGTGAAAAATCAGAAAAAACATGGCTCAGGTGCATCTACATTAGGCAGGTCTGAATGTTCAGTAGAAAGTTGAGGTAAATCAGAGGAGAAACTAGGAGAACTAGACATTGATGTAGTTGATAAAAAAAATCAACTGACTACTTAGATTTGATAGAGGAAAAAGGGAAGAATTATTCATGAAAGACAACATCCTTAGAAACAAAAGCTTTAGAGTCCTAAGGTTGAGAACTTTGTATCTCTTCATTCCATGTGGATAACCTAAAAAACATAAGGTATATCCCTTGGTTGGATGTTTGTTCTATGATTGAGAGAGTGAAAATAAATCATAGACATCCAAAACACCTCATATTAGAGTAACTAGGTTTGCATTTGAAAAGGATCTCATAGGGTGTTTTGCAAGAAAGAACCTTGGAAGGGAATCTGTTTATCAGGTATGTAGCAGTTAGAACACAATCCCCCAATGAGAAATAGGCAAATGTGATTGGAAAAATAGGGTTCTAGATGTCTCTAAAAGATGCTTGTGTTTCCTCTGCACAATCCCATTCTGTTGTGGAGAAGCTACACAAGTAGTTTGATGCACTATTCCTTGTGGAAAAAAAAATTAGGCTGCAAACTACCACATCCCAACTCAAAGTTATTGTCTGATCTTGTTGTCTTATCCTTGGTATTGAAATGTCTTTCTACCATAGCCAAAAAGGATTTGAGGATCGGAAATGCATTTGATTTTGTACTCAGTAGATAAGTCCATGTTCCTCTACTATAGTCATCAACAATTGTAAGAAAGTATTTGTAACCATCATAAGTTTGGTTGTTATAGGGCGTCCATGTGTCTAAGTGAATTAGATCAAAACTTTCTTTGTGGAAATATAACTAGTGGGAAAAGGGAGTTTAGACTGTCTAGCCATAGGACAAATAACACAAGGCACAAAAAAATTTGAACAAGAAGAAACATGAATAGTAGATATATTTCTCATATAACTCAAAGGAATGTGGCCTAGTCTATAGTGCCACAGTTTTTCCTTTACATAGGGATCTGAAGAACTGAAACAAGAATGTAAAATTGGAACAGATTGTCTTTCACTAAATTTATTTCTAGATATAAAACTACGATTGGAATGTAAAAAACTCTTGGGGATAGCTGCTGTTGGCCTTGATTGAAGAATGTAAAGTCCATTTCTCTCCTTACCAATCTCCAGAGGGCTCTTCTGAAGGGCCCTGCAGAAAACAAGAAGTAGAAATAAAAAATAGTGGGTGACTAAGCTGCTTACGCAATTTTTGCACAAATAGTAGATTATACTTAAAAGTAGTATATACAACACATTGTGGAACACCAGATTAGAATTAAGAGCTACTGATTCATAATGAGTAACTAATACTTTCTGAGAATTAGAAAAATTGACTATTCTAGGCTTGATTAAAGGTTTGAAATTAGAAAAGAATTTCTTGTTATAAGACATATGTTCTGAAGCACCACTATCCAGTATCCATGAATAACTGTTGATTTGAAAAAACATGCAGGTGATTTAAAGAATTTGGGTATACCAACACAGTTGGCATTAGCAGCACCACCAGAAGTACTGGCTCCCTATTGTACTATCTTCAACTATTGAAGAAGCTGAGCTACATTTTCCTGGGTATGTGATTTTACTTCTGAGATTCCAATTCCCTGTTCTCCTTCTTCATTTGAGGTTAAAACATTATTTGCCTGAACTGGTCCCTGAAATTTCTTTGGCTTTATGAATTTGAAATCTGCAGGAAAACCATGGATTCTATAACACTTATAAATGCTATGTCCTGGATTCTTACAATAAGCACAAATCCCTAAACTATTCTTTGCATCATAGGACCTCTTTTGTCCTTTGGAATCACCATACTTCTTCCCATCTGCTTGGTTAGCAACCATGAAGGAACCAGACTCTCCTGGTTAAGCAGGTACAACATGAATTTCTCTTTGTTTTTCATCATGTATGACCAAGGAGTATGCCTGCCCAACGGAAGGTAAAGGAAAGAACAACAATATGTTGATCCTAACTCCTATGAAGGTTTCATTTAATCCCATAAGGAATTGCAAAAGTCTTTCATCTTGATGAGCCTTGATATTCTTTGCCTTAGCTCCACAATCACACTCACACACACAAGCAGAGAAAGTATTGAGTGCGTCTAGCTCATCCCAAGCTCTCTGACCTAGATTCTGCATCTGACATAGCGGTTCCATCAATGAACCCTAGCTTGTTCTTTGCAGATAGAGCTATGACAATAGCTCTCCTCCACCCACCATAACCTCTGGCATCAAACGTTGAGGAGACCGGGTTCATTCCTGGGTAGTCTGAAGGATGGAGGTAGTAGGGATGAGCTGAATCAACTAGACCAATACCACTAGAAGTAGCAGAAATAGAAGCTACTGGAACAGGGGGAGAAGAGACGACTGAATCACTCGTTTACGAATTGGTTCCCATTGTAAAGTGAGGAAAAAAGATGGATTTGAATTTGTAAAAAATAAACGTGGCTTGAAGCAGATCAGAACTGCTCTGATACCATGATGGAATAGGAAGAAGATTGATTGAGAAAATTCTCTTTTCTGCACTGTACAAATTGTGTTTATATACAACAACAATGGAATCTGAAATAACGGCCTATGCTACATGTACCTAAACTATTAGCTTAGCTATAACAAACTAGAAGATAAATATAGATAAGCGAAAAATAATATTTACAACCTAATTTCTGAATCTTCTTTCCACAACCTTCTCGTAGGCCCAAGACGAAAAGCCCAAAACGAAATAAAATAGCCGGAGCCCAAAACTGTCCAACCCATATGTTGTATGGTTCAGACATAACACATACTTTGGTCCAAATCTAACCTAACCCTTTTCCTTCCTTAAAAACTTCGAGATTGATTTGAGAAACTCCATTGTTGCCATTTTCATCACCAACAAAATTAAAGATAAATCTGAACTATTACACAAAATTCATGGAAATTTTGAACATTTTTCCTTAATACAATCATGTTACTTATAAAGTAATTACAGGTAAATTTTTATGATAAGATTAATTAATAGGCTAATAAAAATGTACGACTGATCCACTTTAACATGTTAAATTATATTAATAGTTTGAAATTCTTTTATATCGTCGTGTATTTAACTTAAATCAATTAACTTTCCATGCTCATAAATCATATCTTGTTTTTTTTTTTGTTTTTTTGCCACCACTGTCCAAGCTTAGACATATGGTGTAATAAAATAAGTCAAATTTCCTGTTTATTAGCTGATTAGTTTAGTTTTACTTTTAAACATATTAGGTAATCAGAAAAACCTGCTTACTTACCTACGCCGAATCTTCATAAGAAGAAAAAAAGCGGGAATTTTATATTTGCGTTAATAATATTAAGCTTTTGTTATTGGCTTAGACGACAATATTTAACTTGTACTTTTTTTTCCTGGTCAAGTTTTTCTTTGTTAAATTATAAGCTAACCTGATATTCTGTTAATTAGTTGACATCTTATAGCCTAACACACTTATTAATCAACTTCATACCTGAATTTTAGCTAATCAACTTCCTAATGCAAAGTCAATACTTCCTAATGTTTTTATTTTTCTATTTACCCTAAAAATGGATAACAGTTGAATTTATACTGTGGTTTTAAGGACACGCGATTCACTTGGAACAAATTGTGAGAAAACGTAAATGGATAGTGAAATTAATTGCAAATATAAATAAAGCAAACCAAATGATGTGTATAGCTTTAATCCTTGAGCTAGGTTGCCCTCGAACCAAGTGAATATTACGCCGGAAAGTATGAACAAAGCGACAGAAATATTGAGAGCTTAAGAGAGAGTGAATATATTGCTTTTGTAACGTGAACATGATGCCCTTTTACAAATGATCAGACCCCTTTATATAGTAGGGGAATCCTACCCTTGGTACAATTCTAAATACAATAAAAAGTCCTATTATTGGCTAATTAATCAGCCTCTTCTTGATACCTGCCGCGATCTGCGCCGTGATCCTCGCCCAATTGCAGATATTTCGTCTTTCCGTTGCTCGACCCAGTACGCTACCCTCGATCTCCATCTTATTCGGTCCCGATCTTGGTCGATCTCAATCTTGGTTGGTCTCGATTTTGGTCGGTCTCGATATTAATTGGTCTCAGGGTCTCGAGCTTGACAACCTAACTCTGCACCATAGTTTGATATAAATCGGAGCCGATCCTCGGCTAATCACGCTCCTCCCTCGATCAGATGCATAAAAAAGAGCAAGCTCGATTAAACCGTATACACTTTCATCTATCATTTTTTCTTTTTATTTAAAAACGTGTACGTCCATAAAAATTTGTATAAGTTTTTTTTAGTAATTTTTCGAAATGAGTTTTTCAAGAAAATTCAAGTTTTCCGGGAAAAAAAGTTTCCCATTCACAAAAGTACAAATATTTATCAAAAATTACAATTTTTATGTCCAAACGCCAACTAAAGTAATTTTAATCAATATGCACATGACATTCTGTACACAGAACACCCTGCTATCATTTAGGACACTATATATTTCATACTTTCCTGTGGCATTATTATTTATCCAAGATCACGTTGCGGAATGATTTTGAATTTTCATGGACAAGTGAGAGAAGAAAGTAAGTTATAGTTAAAGTCAGATAAATCTTGTCCACTAAAATATGTCAAAAATATTCCACCGAAACATATTGGATGGAAGTGTAATTGATGGACTGAATCTTAACCCAAGTCTATAACCCGAAGCACCAAAACATGATAAGGCAAATATTTAAACAATTACTACAATCGAAATACTGTTTATGGAAGTGAAATACGTACATCTACTTGAATTAAGGAATATTTCAATATTTCCTCTCCTAATCCAACGAATTAGTGACACTATGAGCTGTGATTAGGGATGAAAATTTGAGCTCAAACCCATTTAACTCTTCCAATCTGTCCAAGGTACGTTGGGTTGGTCATTGACCCGCCCATATGTTGAACTCAGACCATTTCAGCCCCTCTAAAGTTAGGCTGATTATTAGCCCAATTGATCCATGAATAACTTTGCAAAAATATCTTTAAAATAATTTTTTTTTATTTGATATGTTATATATGACCAAAACAAAATAAAAAGACTTCTTTGATAATTAAACAATTCATAAGAAAAAACATATATTAACGGTAAGAGTTGAGTGAGTTGGGCTATGACCCAAAGTCCAAGTAACTTTTGGGTGGATGATTGATCCGTTCATTTATTGACTCAGTCCATTTTGACCGCCCAAAATTAACCAACCCGAACATTTGACACCCCTACCTGTGGTCAAGGTATCTTGACTCTGTTTACTTCCACATTACTCCATGTAATAATGTAATGAATCATCAAACTTATAATTAATATGCACTAGTTGCAATATTTTAGCTGCGTATTAGCTGAAAGCAGGTTCAACAGATGGAAAGCATTTCACAAGTCGGAACTGATCAATATTTTTATTACATGTAGGGTTAATTAATAAAACAAATATATTAATGTTGAGACACATCACTATCCTTATTTTGGAAGCATGGTGTTTAATAATCCAAAACCTTAGTTACCTTTTAATTTATTTTATTAAAACACACACACACACTCTTCTATATAAAGAGACCAAGAATAGCAAGTCCCTCCCACCACAAAGCAAATTAGAGCTATTTTTCTCTCCAAATTTTGTATAACAATGGTTTCTAAGTCATTATTTACACTTTTATGCATTCTTCTTCTCTCCATTTCTGCACAGAGCTACACTCGTCGTGCTCGCACTCCTTGTAAAGAAATGGTGTTTTACTTTCATGACATTGTTTACAATGGTAAAAATTATAAAAACGCGACTTCAGCTATAATTGACGCACCAGAATGGGGAAACAGGACCATAATGGCAAGTCCTAACAATTTTGGGGACTTAATTGTGTTTAATGATCTAATTACGCTTGACAACAATTTACATTCACCCCCGGTTGGAAGGGCACAAGGCATGTATTTTTACGATCAAATGGACACTTTTAGTTCTTGGCTTGGTTTCTCTTTTGTGTTCAATAATACTGATTATAAAGGAAGCTTGAATTTTGCTGGTCATGACCCTTTGATGAACAAAACTAGGGATATTTCAGTAATTGGTGGAACTGGTGATTTTTTCATGGCTAGAGGAATAGCAACTTTGAGCACTGATGCATTTGAAGGAAGTGTTTATTTTCGACTTCGCGTCCACATTAAGTTGTACGAGTGTTGGAAATTGCTCTAGTTCATCATTTTTTTTTTCTTGATTTGCATTTAATTAAATATTTCTTTACTTTTTATTTTGTTGTGTTTTTCCATGAGTTGTATTTTGGGTGGTTTTTGATTGTTTTTCAGCCTTCTATTTTTGCACGGAAGTTTCAATTTAAGATAAGGCCTTCATAGTGCATGATATAAAATCGTTGGAATAATTTTTTGCTTTTGGCAAATTAATCTGTCCTCATTATATTTTGTTTTATTTTAGTTTTGAGGTAAACCATTAAACTAATGCCGCCTAATCTTATGTTTTCTTTCTCTTCTTTTCTTTAGTACGTAATAATGTTTCCTATGTAAGGAGTACGATAGATGGTTTGACGCGCACCTTTATTATTGTTTCACCAAACAAATTTGTTGCACTTGTCTGATCCTTTCCTGGATCCCGCACATAGCGAGAGCTTAGTGCACTAGGCTGTCTTTTTTTTTACTTCTTAAATTAGGGAGATTTGCACAAATAGGATCATTTTGTGTTGCTATTTATTCTGTTCCCTCTTTAGAAATTTGTGCGGAAAGATCAATTTAGGAGTAACTCGAAGAAGTATCCCGCATTGACACAGGATCCAGGAAAGGGTCGCACTCCAAGGAGTGTGATGTAGACAGCCAACTATAATGCAAGTATTAGCAGCTGCTTCCACGGCTCGACAAATTGGAATTGATTTAGTATTGTCTTTATTCAACCTATCTAGTTCAATTGTTTATGTCACAACCCAAATTCCATCGTAGGTCTTGATGGCGTCCAACACCGTTGTTAGGCAAGCCAACTCTAATCGACTAGTGAGTTCTCATTTATTTTTCCAACTAATTCCATCATTTACTAAATCTTAAATGTTAGACAGTCGATAATTAACAAGTTCATAATAATAGAAATATAATCCAAAATAATAAGCTACAAAGTGTGTGCCAGGAACTAGTGTCACAAGTACTAGGGCAACTAGTAGAATATATAAAAATACCACTATCCTACTGCCTGAAATAGAATAGACAGTACATAACAACAAACAAAAGAAGAGACTCCGGTATACTGCTGAACGGCTCAGAAGGGGCATCTCATCGTGAGACCTTGATCAGGAATGCGCGCCGGACGGGTAACTAGATGCATTTGCCTCAGATTCTATACAGTTAAGTACATAAGCGTAGTATGAGTACATAAACAACATGTACCCAGCAAGTATCCAGTCTAACCTTGAAGAAGTAGTGACGAAGGGTCGACTTGACACCTACTAGGGTCAATAATAATATCTAAGTGTTAAGCTAAGCATGGATAGCATGAATATAATGGCAGTCCCAGAACAAGAAGAAACAAGATATTACTTCTTAACAATATATCAATTTCAGTCATGTCATGCAATTAGTTATATTTTCAAAGCACTGAAGCAGAGTAAAACACGGAAAGAATCCACATAAATAACATGTGCACATTGTGCCTAGGTCGTACGGCCCGGTACGATATAATATTAAACTGTGCACTGCCAGAGGGTCGAATGGCGCGAACCATAGATGCATCCATTTTCTATCGAGGTGATCGGCCCGATCCACAAATAGAAATTTATTATCAAGTAAGCACACATTGCTCAATTATAATCAAATAATCCATACAAGTTCTCGAGGAAGTGAGTATAACCGTCTATATTTATTTACAAGTTTCTAGCATGTCCTAAATGATCTTAGTAGCAAGCAAGGACGCAAACATTGCAAGTATAGCATGATACGGGTCCTAAACTACCTGGACAATTAGCATAATAGTAGCTACATACGGACTCTCGTCACCACGTACGTACGTAACCCCCACATATACTCACATACATTTATTTAATTCACCTATAGGGTTAATTCCCTCTTATGAGGTTAGAAAGGAGACTCACCTTGCTCTAAAGGTTACTTCCAAATTCAAGAGTGCACTCAAACCCTCAAATCGGAGCCGAACGATCTAAAACTAATCAAATGGGGTAAGAACTAGTCAATACATGCTCAAGAGTTCATATTCTAACTATTAAAGTAATCTTTCCAACCCTAAATGCATGGTTCCTAAAATTTATCCCCGGGCCCACGTGCCCGGATTCCGGACATTTTCGAAGGAAGTTGTTACCCATAACCTAAGGCAAGAATATATGATTTTTACTTCATTTCTTAATGAATTTCGTGGTTAAGTCTTGTTTTTATCAAAATCCTAAGTTTTACTCTAAACCCACAATTTTAACTAATTTACATGGTGTAATCCACCCCTAAACTATGTATTAAACACACATTAAGTAGAAATAGCTTACCTCAAAATGCTAGGCTGAAATTCCCTCTTTGGAAGCTCCCAAATCGCCCAAGAAATGAATGAAATATGTCAAAAATGATACATCCCCGTATTAAATGAAGGCACTGCCTTCAACGATTTTCGCACCTGCGGTTAGGGGACCGCATCTGCGGTCACGCTTCTGCGAGGGATCGTCCGCATCTACGCAACTGGGCTGGGCTAGCTGAGGCCGCATCTGGGGTCTGGGGACCGCTTCTGCGGAAGAGGAGCCGCATCTGCGGAACCTGGGCTCCTCCCCTTGGGCCGCATCAGCGATTGGTAGGACGCACATGCGGTCTCACACCTGGGGCTAGCCAGCCTCAGGTGCGGTTATGACAGAACTGGAGCTTCAGCTCCTTTCACAAATTTGCAACTCAACTCGAGCCTCATCCGATTGACGCTCAAGGCCCCGCCCGAACATACCGGCAAGTTTAAAATCATAAAATGCACTCGCTCGAACCCTCAGAATGCCCGAACAACGCTAAATCTAAGAATCACCCCCTAAAACTAATTGAATCAAACTTATGAACTTCAAGTTCTTCAATCTACCTCCAATGTGCAAAAACGTACTTATACTACTCGGATTGACACTAAATTTCGCGTGCAAGTCTTGAATGATAATATGGAACTATTTCCGGTCTCGGAATTTCGTTCGGACCTCGATAACACAAAAAACCCGCTCCAAACCAAATTTAAAGAACTTCAAAATCTTTAATGAATCAACTTTCACTATGAGGCGCCAAAACGCTCCCGGGTCATCCAAAACCCGATCCGGACATACGCCCAAGTCTGAAATCATCATACGAACCTATTGGAACCTTCACATCCTAATTCCAAGGTCGTTTACTCAAAAGGTTGACCGAAGTCAAACTTGGACTTTTAAGCCAACCTTAAGGAATCAAGTGTTCCGATTTCAACCCAAACTCTTCCAAATCCCAAACCAACCATCCCCGCAAGTCATAATTTTGTAAAAGAAAGTACGGGAAGTCTTATTTAGGGGAACGAAGTTCTAGAAAGCAAAATGACCACTCGGGTCGTTACATTCTCCACCTCTTAAACAAACGTTCGTCCTCGAACGGGTTTAGATTCATACCTGAAGTGCTGAATAAGTGTGGATATCTGCTCTGCATGTCCTCCTCGGACTCCCAAGTCGCCTCCTCGACTGGTTGGCTCCTCCACTGGTCCTTCATCGCAGAAATCCTCTTGGACCTCAACTGGTGATCCTGTCTATCAATAATGGCAACTGGTTCCTCCTCATAACCCAAGCTCTCATCTAGCTGAATAGTACAGAAGTCTAAAACATGAGACAAGTCGGCGTGATACCTACGAAGCATAGACACGTGAAAAACTGGATGAACTCCCGATAAGCTGGGGGGTAAAGCAAGCTCATAAGTAACCTCCCCAACTCGCCTCAACACCTCAAATGGGCGTATAAATCCGGGGCTCAAATTGCCCTTCTTCCCGAACCTCATAATCCCCTTCATCGGCAGACATTCAAGACAACCTTCTCGCCAACCATGAATGATACATCTCGCGCCTTCTGGTTTGCATAACTCTTCTGTCTGGACTGAGTTGTGCGAAGTCTTTCCTGAATCAACTTTACCTTTTCCAGGGTATCTTTCACCAAAATTTGTACCATACAACTTAGCCTCACCAGGCTCAAACCACCCGATAGGAGAACGACATCGCCGACCATATAAAGCCTCAAATGGATCCATCTCGATGTTGGACTGATAACTGTTGTTGTAAGCAAACTCGGCCAAAGGCAAGAACTGATCCCACTGCCCTCCAAAGTCAATCACACATGCATGCTTTAAGCATATCCTCTAGAATCTGAACTGTCCGCTCCGACTGACCATTGGTCTACGGGTGAAATGTTGTGATGAGATCTACACGAGTCCCCAACTCACTCTATACGGCTCTCCAGAAATGAGAAGTGAACTGAGGGCCTCTATCTGATACGATGGAAACAGGCACACCATGCAACCGAACTATCTCCCGAATGTAGATCTGAGCCAACCTCTCTGAAGTATAAGTAGTGACAACCGAAATGAAGTGTGCCGACTTGGTCAACCTGTCGGCAATGACCCAAATTGCATCAAACTTCCGTAATGTCCGCGGCAACCCAACTACAAAGTCCATAGTAATGCGCTCCCACTTCCACTCAGGTATAGGCATCTGCTGAAGTAGGCCACCTGGCCTCTGGTGCTCATACTTAACCTGCTGACAATTCAAGCACCTAGCTACATACTCAACTATGAATTTCTTCATCCTCCGCCACCAATAATGTTGCCTCAGGTCACGATACATCTTCATAGCACCTGGATGAATAGAATACCATGAACTGTGTGCCTCCTCCAGAATCCTCTCCCTCAAGCCATCGACGTTAGGAACACATAGGCGACCCTAGAGTCGTAGAACACCATCCTTGCCAATAGAAACCTCCTTGGCACTACCTTGTAGCATCGTCTCTCTGATAACTGCGAAATGCAAATCATCGAACAGCCGAGCTGTGATCTGCCCCAACAATGAAGACTGAGCAACAACACACGCAAGGACTCGACTGAGCTCTAAAATATCCAACCTTACAAGTCTGTTAGCCAAGGACTGAACGTCCAAAGCTAGTGGCCTCTCCTCCACTAAAATGTATTCCAGGATACCATACTCTCTACCTTCCTGCTTAAGGCATCCACGACCACATTTGCCTTGCCTGGATGATAAAGAATGGTGATGTCGTAATCCTTCAGTAACTCAAGCCATCTACGCTGCCTCAAATTGAGATCCCTCTGCTTGAACAAATGCTGTAAGCTGCGATGATCAGTATAAACCTCACATGAAACCCCATACAGATA